AAAAAAAAAACTCTTCCATGTAACAAATTGTTTCTTTTTAATGAACAAATTTTCTTTTAAGTCAACATATTTTTGCTTAATTAATTAACATTAGATCTAGCTAATAAAAATACTTGAACTCAATTCAATTTAAGTTAATGTTTCTGTCTCACGTCGATGGTGTACAATATGCCACTCAACCACCAACCAAATTAAAAATAATTCACTGTAGTTTTGATTCATTCGTAAGGAAATAATATAAAGTAATTATCAAATTTCGATATCTTCTACTAAAAATAATTGGTCTGGTTTAATATAATACACCGCCACTCACTTATAATATATTTTTCCTCTGTATTTTACAAAAAAAAAAATGATCAAATTGGAAAATAAGTGTTCACGTAGGGTTTGGTTTAGTTGCTTTTGTTTTGTTTTAATAAGTACTACATGTGTATAAATAAATAAATAAAAACTCCTTTTATTTTCAGTAATTTATATATCCATAATTTGATTGGGATTGTTGGGTGCACAACACAATCCATTTGGCGCCTCACTCGACCCGCCATCCGCTGCAGCTTTTGGCAAAGAAGTTCATTGGAAGGCGAAGGCGAGACGAGTCGTCTTCAACCTTCGTCTCTCTGCCTCTGCGCATTCCTTTTTCGATCAGTTGGTTTTGGTGGGAACATGAATTTCTCCGGTACTCAATTTTAGTTTCCCATTTAATTGCTGCCAAAATCGTGCTCCAACTGCTCTGTCTTGGTGGTTCCATGTTTTCTATATTATGTACACGAGCGAGCGCTTTCCGCAGTGACTTAATATTTTTCAACTACTTCCTTTTCTTGCCCTCTCAACGATGCTCCGTTTATTTCGAAGGAAAATGGCCGGAAAATGGCCCTGCCACTTCACCATCAGAGCCTTGCAGATGATAACTATTATATGGTCATATGTTTTGTTTTCCATAACTAATCAATCAAGAACTTAAAAAGTAGAGCCTTCTTTTTCAACCAATGAAGCAGCCCTTTTCCCTTTCTGTTGTGGGGAGGTGAAAATTCTGCTCTGTATCAACATATTTATTCTATGGAACGTTTTTGTTTCGAAATTCAGATTTTATGTTATTATGATCTTCTGATGTTTCGTTGGTAAGCCGTCTTAGAGCACACGGAATCTTGATTGACAATTGACCTATACCTAATATCCATCCTCTTATACTCTTACTACTGATCCAATATTTTTATCTTCTGCGAGCTCTTGATAATTTCCCAACTCTATATGCTACGAAGATGGAAATATGGCTACATTTTTCTCTCTCTGACCCTTTTTATTTTCATTTTCATCTGCATGAATTTTTAAGTTCAGATATTATTTTGATACACTGCTAACTCTGAAGACGAATAGAATACTGTACCATGCTGCACTGGCACATACCGGAGGTTCATTCTCAAATTTTTAATAGCAGTTTGTATTTTCTATTGTTCACTACAATGTGAGATGATAGTCCGGTTGTCTTGAATTTGAGATTTACTATGTAATTATTTCATTAGGCTCTATTTAAACACAACTGTTTTATTATAGAGCAATTACCTCGTGTTTCTAACTAATACTGTTGTGCGCAATTTTTTGATTCTTTACGACTAATTCTGCTAATTTAATAAAGAATGAGTAGACCTTTCTTTATTATTCATTGAGATTAGGGACATCCACATGGATATATTGTAACTCTCCCTTGGGCTGCTGTAGTTCTAGTCTATTTACATTTTCCCTTGCAATTCTCAGTGCACTTTATTTCCTTTAAACCCATTAGAAGCATTCGTGCATTCTATCTCATGGATGTTTTAATCAGAGAAGTATATCATCTAGCTCCTTTGAGGTGTTAATTTTAGCTGCCTTATATCTCGATCTCCTTAGGCAGATTGGGTATCTTGAGTTGTTTTATTTCCTTAATTCCCCCGGATGAAGTTCTCTCACTTGGGCACATGGCGATACTGTTAGTATGGCACAGGTTAAGCAATATTGAGAAACGGAGGAGCAGCACAACATGGTGATGCAAAACTATATTAGTGACATTAAGATGTAATGTGTTGAGACTCAGGTTCCCATGAAATTGATAAAAGTATGGTGTCTGATTTGGAGTGGAGGCCATATTTTATTTCCTTTTCTTTTGCAACATTCTGTGGAGAGGTCATTTTGGGTCTTTTCATATGTTGCAGATTGAGAATAATGGGGGTGATAAAGGAGGCTGCTTGTCCCCCATTCATCAGGCTCGGGAGAAGTTGTGAGTGGCTTCAATGATTGAGTACTAGTGATAGAAATTGAGAACACGTGTTGGTCTATACTTCGGTATGACTTGATTTTAATTTGGGATACCTACTTTGAATTTTTGTAACCATATGCAAGTGTATGCGATCAGATCATGGCTTTAGAAGTACTAAATACCAGCATTCTTCTAGGTATTTGATTGAAGAAGGTAGATTTATTTTTTTTAAAATCTGATGTGAGATGTGGGAAGTACACTAAAGATTTCTTGTGGACGTCTTGTGGGCTTCAAATATGAATTTTTCTTCTGTGTGATATACTTTTGTCTCTATTAAAAGAAAGATATAATTTTATCCTTTAAATCAAGGCAAGTAATTTCTAATTTTTCCTCTTCTGGAGGATCTGTGAGTTTTTTCTCCCCTTGTTTTAATGCACTCGTGCTGTTTTCTTTTTAAAATTGAAACTAAATAATTTCCCACTTTTTTTGGAACATTGCTTCCTCTCTATCATATTTCTCTCCTTGTTCTAATATAGTAAAATCCTCTTTTTCATCCGAAAGAGAAGATTGTGCTTCTTGTAAAAGGAAGGAGAAAAAAAGGAGAAGAAGGAAAGGATTAGAAAAGGATAAGAAAAGGTTAGAGATGTAGTTTGATTGACTTTGCTGTCTCTAAATTTGAAAATTCGTTCTTGTTCTATTTTTCCATTCGAGCCACTTTGAACCGTGTCTTGTTTTTTTTTTTTTTCTTCTTTTGTTTATCACCCTTTACGACTCCAGAAATGTTGAGAATAGTTACTGATTTAAGTTCTACTTTTATCCATCATTCTAAACTTCTTGGCATGTGGCTTACGAAGAACTTAAAGGTCAAACTATGAACCTTGAAAATGGACATCAGATACTTAAGGGTACACGTGTTATGGTTGGGTCACGGATTGCACAGAGATATAATAGTGAAGTGTATGCCATTATATTATTGTCTTTGGTGAACTTGAATGGTAACATAATATTGCAGCTTGTGTTATACTTTGAAATGCGAAGTTAAAGTAGTTGTCAAAGTTTAGTGATTTGAATGTAAATCTTGTCCCTGTCCTTGGATTTATGAATCCGTATATATACATATATTTTCGTAAATGACGTTTTGTTAATATTCTGCTGATGGTAGACAGTTAGTCAGTCGGTTGTTTATTAATATTTGAAATTTATTTCCTCGACTTCGAGAGCCCAACCATTATTTTCAGAACACCTCTCTAATGGGGAATTTTTTCAGATGAAATATTCGAGGCCTGAAGGACCTTCATAGGCTATTTCCATCTGGTCAAGCTGGTGATGTGCAGATTGGTCTTTTGAAGTAAATGTGAAGTTAAGATGAATTCTCAGTGCCATTAACTTCTGGGTTGAAGTTAAGATGAATTCTCAGTGCCATTAACTTCTGGGTTGAGATATGTGCGTTTCATCTTTATTTCTTAGTTTATATTGTTTTCTATTCTCAAATCTGACCTGCCAGCTTCTGCAATCTGCAACTTTTCCATCTTATTATTGAGGCACATAGTGTGTCAAATTGATGGTGAATGGAGATTCAATGTTGGAATTTAGACTCCCTTCCACTATTCCATATTCTTAACCAGATTCACAAGTATTATAAGTTGGGTGTTAGAATGCATATTTATATATATATATATATATATATATATATATAAATATATATATATATATGTGTGTGTGAATGTTTGGACTAGCTTACGTACACTAATAACCGTCTGACTCATTATATTTGGTTTCCAAAGTAACTTGTAGGATATTAAATCCTATATAGTGGCCACATTAGATTTCATCTTACAAAATTAAAAATCTCTGGATCTTCTATGGTAAAGCCCAAAATACACATGGATGCATCCTTTCTAACACAATAAAGCATCAGGTGTATAAAAAAGTCGAAAGATGCATTGATGAATGATGGTTTCAGACTTCTTAAAACAGTTTGGAACATTGATTTCTGTTTCCTGTTTCTCTCTGACATATTTAAGTCATTCAACAACCCTGACGATGTAGGTTTGACTTCTGAGTATGATTCCACGAGTTCTACTTATGGAGCAGTCCTATGGTTTGAATTTCGGATAACCCAAACCACAGATCGCTAAGTGTTAGATTTGTTACCCCATATGGTTATTATTTATTTTCTTGTGCTGCATATGCTAGTTTTCAGTTTTTACATCGACCACAGGAGGTCAACTGAGTTTGTTCTTCCCACCAACCACATTTATCCATGAGGTTTTTCTGATTCAAGTGTATTTATATGCTCATAGCTACAAAGAGGCATGTCTGAGTTGGATCAGGTACAAAGACGAATCGTTCCTAACCCAATGATTTGAATTACCAAATTTATCCAAAATAAATGATCTTAGCTGGGTTATTGGACTTTTCGAGTCGACTTAATAGTAAGAGTCCAAAAAATTAGACTTGTATGTTTTTTTGGGTTACAATTAATGCTATCAATTGTGGCCAAAACTAAGTGACGTGGGCTTTGTATATATACTAACTGGTAACCTCTTATTTCCACATGTCAGCTCAAGTCTTGTCGCAGAGCAGGAGAGCCCAGAAGTTTTGATGCTTCCATACACAGCTTTTTTAACTTTGAACACACTTCTTTTGACTATAATTTCATGCCTTAATTAATCTATTTCCGTGAAAAAACAAGAAAGAAAAAGTTTTCAGGTTGGTGCACTGCAGATGCAGGTAATACTGTGATGTACTTGGACTTGGACAGGGCTGTTGTGACGAGCGTAGCGTATGACTTCCATTGGTGGAACTTGTAAGGAACACCAATATGAATTCCATACAGTGCTGTCAGCCATCAGCCATCAGCCATCAGCCATCAGCCATTAGGTACAACCACGACGCGCCTTCCAGCTAATTTTCAAATATATCAATAACCGATTCTCTCACCCTTTTCCTTGAAATATCGTCAATTTCTAACGAGCCAAAATTTAAGTTATTGCGTCTTCCATAGTTATTAAATAGAATTCAACATATACGTGAGATTATTTATGCATCAAACTCTTGTCATGTGGGATTCATTTAATTGCTTATATGAATTTTAATAGAAGAAGGTATTCATTTAGTCAATGGCTCGTGTATTTCATCAGGAAAGAAAAAACAAAATCTTCCGTATTAGGCTTTGATTCAATGTTTTATTGAACAGTAACTTATAATTGTTGAAATTCAATTTAATTGTTTTTATATAACATAACTCTATAACAATTGAGTGTCGTATGTGTAAAAGTAATAAATAGCTGCTACTTGTATGCTTGTATATGTATATCTAATTTGTTGACCTCTGTTATTTCCATCTATATCACAACTTTGACTTGTTTTATAATTAAACAGGCTTTATTCAACCACATTTAGAAGTCAAAAAGGAGGATTTTCAAGAATGTGGACAGACTTGAGCATCGTGCCATTTCAATAACATTGGGAGTAAGGCAAATAATGCTATACAATGTGGTGCATTTGCAACTCTGCATCTTTTTTATGCATATTTTTTAAGTGGGGAATGGTGCATAATCAGACTGACCTAGTTTTGGATGTTTTCGGCTTGATTTGAAAGAAAATAGAGAAGTGAGAAAAATTTTATAAATGTGAGACATATTCATATTCTTGAGAGGGTAAATATTTCCTCAATGTCTTAGAGATGTAATCTTTATTATCAATATCCATACAAATTTGTATAAGTTTTTCATGTATCTTTCTCTTTCTTTTATCTTTTACCTTTTTCTTTTTTTATTTTATTTTTATTAAGTACATCGAGGAGAGTAAGAGAATTTAAATTGATCTCTTAATCAGAAACATGTGTCAATTACTGCTCAGTTAAATTTATGTTATTATGTTTTAAAAATTTTACATCCTTTGTACCACCGAGAGCTTGATTAAAAAACTACAAAAATCAATCAATAATTATATTTACATATTAATAATATTAATTAAATTAAATGACTAACATTTATATAATTAATAAACACAGCTTACTGTTTTTATGGATCTAATAGATAAAATGTCAATTTGACTCGATCCCTATTTTTAAGGGTGTCGTTTGATTTTCCACATTTCAATTATTGAACTCATAAAAAAAAAGGGGTAAATAGAAACAAATATTTAATTCTCTAGCTCATACTTAATTTTAACATATTTAAACTCATCAAACAAATATCGTATTTCCAATCATCAAAAACCTTTAACAGATTTTTCAAGCTCAGCGGATAAGGTATAAATTATATATTACTTCTGGAAGAATCCAACCCTACCCATGCATTTGAACTTAAAAAAAAAAAGGAAAAAAAAAATATCCACGGCCGCCTTTGACGCCGGATTTGGAGAGGACCGCCTTGGGCGGAACCTGCGGGGCGGCGGAGAATGGGAGGGAAGAGCGTCAGCGTGTAGGATAGAAATAGAAAGGATATTTGAAGATTTTTTGGAGGTTTAAAGAAGAAAGTTGCAACTATACGATAAGTTAATATGCGGATCCTGATCGAGATTTTGCAGGTGTTAAATTTAGAAGAAACATGGGCAGGCTAAGCGATCCAGGTCAAAGTTTTAAGTAAAAATTTCTCTTTCCTTTCGGGCAGCACGCAGCAGAGGAGGAATCTATACTCTAGGCACAGATTCAGATTAGAAGCAATCTAATCTCCTTCCAGCCTCATCATTAATATACAATTTCCCCAAATTTCCATTCCAGATGGTTTTGGCGGCAAATGCTCGTTCTTCGCCCCTGCATACGCGATGTTGTGCTTATTTCCCACCAAATTTCCGCAATTTTTTTGGCCGGCGAGTCTCTTTTAGGGCTAACTAAATTAACCAGGGCCGCTACTTTCATTGTTATAATTAGAAAGAACAGGAGGAGTACGCCATCCTGGGTACTGCAATTGGGAATTGGGATGCAAAAGCTGGAAAGAAAAAGGGCGAAGAAAGAGAAGTATGGAGTGGAGGAGGAGCATACCCGAAAACCCAGAGAGGAATGGACGCCATTGATTATGCTTACGGGATTGGAGGTGGATGGAGAAGACAGAAGAGGTTCTTCGCTATGTCTATGTCTATATCTCTCTCGCTGTTGTGTGTCTCGGAAAGAGGGAAAAAGGAAAGTGCGCAAACTGAAGGCTGAAGCGAAGTGCGTTAAGGCTCTATTGATGACACGTGGCGAGAATCCAGTGGTTTGGATTCCTGGGAGGCTTGGCTTCAACAGCAACAACAGCAACAACCCAAAACCCAACACCAACGTATACACCCACAATCACAATCTCTCTCTTCTGCCATGTCAGAGTGTAACCCCGTCCTATGACCCCGGCGAATCCGTATTTGTGTGCTTCTCTTTCTAAAAACTCTCTCTCTCTATTTATTCATCTGTCTCCCACATCTGTCTCTTTCATTCTCATCTTTCTCTCTCTCATCCCCAACGCCAACTCTCCGAGCCCTAACTCTCGAACCTGCTTCTCCCCCCTTTTACTCTCTTCCCGCCCTTAATCACATATTATCATGCTCTGTATTCCCTATTGATCCACAGGTAACACTGCCAACCTCCTTAATTTTCCTGCCTACTGTCTTTTTTCTCTTCTTTTCTCTTGTATTTCCCAATATGATTCGCTCTTTTATGCAAATCGTCCAATTTTACCTTACCCATGTCTGCTTTCTTACTGGTTTGTATGGCCAGAGTGTTTGATTCCTATAGTATTTTGTTCATCTTTTTTAATTATTGTTCAAAGTTGACGTTTTTGAAGGGTTTGCTAATTGGGTTTTGGACTATTGCATGATATTTAGTACCTGAATGGGGCTTTGGGGGTTAAGTGTGTTAAATTTAGTGCATGCTGAGGTTGCTGAAATTTTTTATTTTTTCAGTTTTATCATTGTAGATAGTCTACATTTGCAGCATTGGTTGCTTATTAGATTCTGGGCTTATGGTTTGCTATACTTGGCAGTAACATGTATCAATGCAATAGTTGGATGGTCTTCTTGGTGATCTGCATACTGCTTTTCTTCTCAACTTCCTAACCCGTTTAATCTAGTGTACTCATCACTTGTTAATATTACAATGTATGCATTTGGTTTGTCTCCCTGTACCATTTTGTTGATTGGGTTTATTTTCTCTAATATGATAACGAAACATTTAATCTACTGTTTAGCTAGCTTAGTCACAAACCTCTGTTAGCATGGCAATGGGAATTGCATTCGCTTTGAACTTTTGTTCCGGAGAATCATACTTTTGCTCAGGGCACTATGAATCACAGAGTCTTGGTTCTGGATTGACCTAGTATATTGAGGCCTCATTCCAAGTTTCAAGTTCTTACAGTAAACCTCTGTTAAAAGATTTGGCCCTACTTATGTTTATAGAGGTTTAACTCTGTTGATGATTTAACTTTTGCAAGTTCAAAGTAATAGTGGTTATCTGGATAATACTATCTTTTTCTGCTTAGAGAGGAGAAGTTTCACTTTCATTACCTATTTAAATAGCTTGGTTTATATGTTTTGGATGTTCCGAGGCTTAATATTATTATGGTCAAAAGTTTGATGGTAGGCAGTAATTGATTCAGCAGATATTTTTTTTCAATCACCTAGAAGTATGTTTCAAACCCATGATAGTCACCTACGTAAGATAAAATCCATAAATTTCTTGACAACCAAATAATGTAGAATCATGAAATTGTGCTGTTAGATTAGTTGAGATGTGCATAAGCTAGTTTAGATACTCACTATATCCAAAAGAAAAAGAAAACATTGGTCATATTACAAATTGCGTTAGATTTACGCTGATAGTGGTGGATAAGGTTTATAGTAAGCCTGATGAATTGAGCAAAAAGTGCTCTTTGGAATTTTTTTATGGGAGGTAGGCTAACTCTCGTGCATTGGTTTTGTGCATTTTGCCTCTTTGCTTTACCTTTTTAAGGTAGCTGTAGGGATTGGA